GCTTTGAGTTAGTCAGAAGTCCAGAAAAGCGCTGTACAAGCTCAAGTCCATTTACCATAAATACATTTTGGCTTTGCATGGATTTATGCTAGCAGCACATGAAAACCATCCAAATTCGCAAAAAGCATTGGACACCAATTTAGAGACAAAAAGTCATGTTGAAACCCAAAGTTTGGTGATATCAACGTCCTTCATTGCGGGTTTTTTACTTTAAGATGCCATTGGCTTGAGAGACTTGAAAGACATTGGTGACTCAACAATACAACGTAAAGCAACCAAAATATCAACTTCACCATCTCCGTCAGTTTCCCGTAAAAAATGATGCTGAAACTCAGTGTTGTCTTGACATTACATTTTTGGTTATCCAACTTTCAACCTCCATTCAACCATCATTATTGGTGGCCAACTGGTTTCAGTGAAACAGTCTATCATCATCAGACATTTCATCGGATGATATGAAGATAGAGAGATCGATAGTTTGTAACCAGCAGAATAAGAAATCTGCTTTACATAAGAGAAAGTTACAAAGTTCATATTTGATGGTCATATATGAGCCTCTGTTTGAATTCCTCTTCTTTTTCAGGAACTTCTCAGATCATTCCTGACCTTTACTGATTTCAGCTTTTTTCAGATACGTTCTTGGTCCCTTTTTGTAACTTATGAACATGCTGCCAAACCAGAGGGAAGTACACTTTGTACAAAAAAACAACTTAAATGTCAAACTTTTCTGGGAATTCTCCCTTCTTGTTGCCTTTTTTATAAACTAACTAAGGGTTGAGGTTTGGCTCCAGGGTTCCTGATACCGACCAATAAAGTTATAGGCAATCAGATCATCTAATATGATTAGCTCCAACTAACTTTGGAGAAACTGCAGCCTTTTTTTGGACTCATTACTGAGCAAGCAGAAAGGTCAAATTGTGGTCAGACTCGAGGGTTTCAAAGTTGTAAGTCTGAAATGCCACATCTGATCCCTGCACATGTTATCTGTAATTTTTGTGAAAATGTATTTCTTTGCTATAAAAGCCCACATGGTTCAGACCTTGATTTAGTACTCTCTTTGTACAAACTGCCCTCTGATTGCGCTGAGATAGCCATTTATAGACTCGCTCTGGCGACATCTGGGCATCCGAAATACGTCAGCATGAGTGATTTCGAGATATTGTAACCTTTCTCATGAATTTACACTTTCATTTTATTGCGATACACTTTCTTAGAATGAACTGCAGTAACTCAACAGCAGAGCAAACGTCAAAGCCACAGCACAAAGATAAGAGGTACAGCAGATGTTGCAGAGAACCTAACATATTTGTATTGAACCCTCTGTGTGCTACCAAAAAGCAGACCGGCAAAGTGACTTACTATCCAGAGAACAGAGTCAAGCATTCAGCTGTTAAAGTGACAAATGTTTTTTCAAAGATAGTGGAAATGCTTATATACTTTACTTGGATATTGAAATACAGAGACTCTTATATACTCTTAAATAACAGCCCACCAGGGAGTACACTTTCTCAGGAAGCTTCTGAATTTTATCGTAGACAACACTTTTATGAAGATGTTTTATTGAATTGGTTTTTTACTTTCTGCATAGTGACCTGGTGCGGGTCACTCAGCATTGAGAATTGCAACAAAATCTTTGTCGAAGCTAATGATCCAATCAAATTCATCCCAGCATTATTTCCCGCCTCCAGCCTAGGCCTGTGAAGGCTGTTTTGTCATGAGCCGGGGATCCGGCCTGAAGATTTCTGCCTTTTAAAGGTCCCATATTCTGCTTTTTCTGGTTTTATATGCCTTTTAGCGTGTTTTACAAGTGTCCTGTGCATGTTTAGGCACATCTATGTGCAAAAAGTCCGCGGAAACGCGGCTTCTCCTACGTCCTCCTGTTAGCTGTAGCATTAGCTGCATGTAACGCTCGGTTCTAGCCCCCTTCGATAAAAATTTGTCAGTGCTGCGTCTTTGTCAGTGTGATATCACTGATTTAAGCCCATTGGCTCGTTGTGGCAAGCCCTGCAGCTCATGTTGACATTTCCGAGAAGCGTGCTGAGCAACTGACCAATAACGACAGAGCGGCTCAGCAGACCAATCAGAGCAGACTTGGCCCACGTGGGGTCTAACAGTGTGGGCACAGCAGAGTGCAGCTGACAGACTCAGAGCGTAGAGGGAGCAAAGAGGAGCAGTACAAGAAAACAGACACTTTTTTCGGACTGTAGCTATTGTGAACGTACAAAAGTATGTAATCAAAAGTACATAGATTAAATATACGAACCCCAAAAAGGGCAAAATATGGGCTCTTTAATAAGGCAGTTTTTTCTTACCACTGTAACTTTTGCTGCTTTGCTAAAGTGCTCATGATGGATAGGCCAGGTCTTTGTAATATAGCATTAAGTAAGGTCTTTTTACCTGCTCTTTTGTAATGTTAACAGACAAAGAGTAAGGTATTTTACCTGCTTTCTGTAAAGTGTCTTGAGATAACACTTGTTATGAGTTGAAGAAATACAAATAAAAATTGATTGATTGATTGATTGATTGACTGATTGATTGATTGATTGATTTTAACTTGTGATTGGTTCTATCCTATCTATCCAGCAGAGATCGGCTGAGCCCAATAACTGAAAACATGTGGGACCCAAATTGTGACCTTTTGGAAACTGCCCGCTTTCTAACATCGTCTCTAATCCCACAGATGAAGCCCTGGATGGTTTTTACCCAGTGAATCCATTGCCCAGGGAGGAGGGGTCGAGGTGAGGTGTCCCTGATTCCCTGCTGACTGACAAACATCCACAGGGAGGGTTTGGAGAGAGACATGATGATGTATACTAGTGTTTGTGTGAGTGTGTGTGTGGCTGATGAAGGGCATGCCGGTGGGTGGACCAAGCAGGGGGCATTTCAACACTAGCATGTGACCCGCTAGAGTTTCATAACTGATGGACCAACCAGTGGGCCCACCCGGGATGTAGACTGGTGCTAGAGTTTCAAAACAAATCCCAGTGTGTGTTGGGAGTCCACTGTGATGTACGCGGCTTTTCAACTATTAGCGCGGCTATTAGCATCTTCGTCAGCGAGTGTATCCAAAATCCCTGGAATCCACACACACACAAACACTCTCACAGATGGTTTCCCTAATGAGAGGGGATGCGTAAGAGTTTCACCTGATCTTGCATCTCGTTTGCGCGTCACCCAGCGGGAGGCCTGACCTCATTGACGTTCAACAACAGCATCTGTCTTCAGGAAAGAACTCCATCGACAGGCCTGCTGCTCCGCCTCCATCTCACATCCTGGAAAGTCTCCTATTTAGGCAGGGAGAACGAGGGGTTTTCCAGGCACAGATGATATTGACATCTTGCATCTTATAATCCGATATGTATTGGAAGAAAAAGTGCCAGCTACTACAAAATATCTGAAATTTAGACCAAGACTTTCCTTGACGATAGTGAACTTCATTTCCACTTTTAGATTTGATTTCTGGAAAACTACTGAAGTTTTTTGGGTGAGCTGCATGTGTGAATGTAAACAACCACATTTTTTCACTCAGACTTAACTCAAATTCTCTCCTGCCAGCCCCCTAGTTATTTTTTCGGCCTGAAGTCTGAGTGACCTGATGTGAGAATGCAGCAGGGTATAATCGGGAGAATTCACGTTGAGTGAGGGGGAGGGGATTGTGACATTTATTCACTTGCGTTTAGTGCACGACCATAAACTGTATGCACGCATCCAGTTTATCGATGTCTTCTGATGCAAGAAGCCTCACATAAAAACAACACTATCATGAGAATATTGGCCTATATATTAATGAAACACAATATCAAAAGAGAGGGAGAAGAACATCCTGGCAAAACAGAAAACATAATGAAGCCGTTTCATTACATGCATATAGATCATACTAGTCTTTTTTCTTTTTCCTCCACCCTCCTGAATCAAATTTTCCAGTAGTTGCAAATGCATCACGTATGCAGCTCACTCGGACTTTCTGTGGAAAAAAATACTAGGGGACTGGCTTGAAAAACTCCGGAGACAGCTGTTTGCATTCACACATGCTGCTCCTTCTGAAAATTAGCAGCCGTTTTGTGCAAGTGTGAAAGCAACAATACAGGCAATCTCCACCTGTGGGGCTACATGTGTGAAGGGCAAGTCAGGATAATGACCTGACCTAATTCTGAGGACATTGTTCAGAGTCGATATGTGAAAACAGACTACATACAAATCTCCCCAACTTCAATGGGAACATTTAATTACCTTTTACACTCTCGATGGGAAGAAAATAATCAGAACTGGAAGACTTCAACAATGCAGATGTAGACCAAACGTTGCAGGAGAAGAATAACTGAGTGGATATCAGGGGGCTTAATGTCGTCCCAGAGGCATATTGAGCCTCTAATACACAAGGTTCAACCTAAGTGTTCTTCAAATGAAACCTAAGGTGAAACTTGCTGATATTTAAGGGTCATGTACATGCACTTTACCTCAAGCTTTAATCCCGAGAGTCTTATTGTGATGAATTTATTGTTGCTCCGGGACACTCTGGCAGTACACCTCTGCCTTTGTGTCCTGGGATGGTTTAATCCGGGTTTTTTTGTAATGAGATGGACTGTCTTAAAACCGTGGGACCTCACAGCTGCCACCAGCAGGGCAATGTATTGCCTTTGTGTTTTGTTGTGCGTCCCAAACTCACCTTTTTGTCCTGAGCGGAAGCCAGAGTCAGGGGGGGCGGGACGCACTCACAGACAAAAGATTAGCATGTCTTTCGAGGAGCCAGCAGGCAGTAGTAGCTCTAAACAGCTTAGAGAACTGAGACAACAGGCTACACACACACATACACACGGACCACCTCACCTCCGATCCTCTCTCGTCTCAATAGCTCAGCCGATACGAATCCGGAAGTAGATTAGTCAAGAAAGCCTGTCACCTTAAACGGCTTAGGAAACAAAACAATAGCTGCAGCTACCATGCAGATAAAGAAAAAAGGGAAAGAAGATATATACCACATTTTTTGCTACCCTGAAGAAATTACATTTTTTAATAGATTTGTTTCCCTTTTATAAAATACCATATCACCTGAGCACAGGACAAAATGTGTCCAATTTAAAAATCAAACGATAAATCCACCAGGTAAACAAAGACACTCCATATCGTCAGCATTCAATTAGAAACACACATTAAATACTGTAAATAGAGATTCTTTCACATGTGGCAGTATGAGTACACAAATGAACCACATATTACACAACAAATTACAATTTTCAGACCTTTGTAAGGTATGTTTGAGTAACTTTAATTGTGAAATGTTATTCAAGGAAGTCTTGTTGGAATTTTCTGTATTTGTTGTGGAAGCCAAAGCCAGTGGTTCCCAAACGTTTTCTGCAGGGCCCCCCTTTGGCAAATGAAAAGATTTTCAAATCCCCCCACATATCACCATACACATTAACATGTAAACATATACGATTCCATATTTTGAATTTGATCTTTTCCATGTTTTGTGGGTATTCTGGGTATTGAGGAAAAATATTGAAGCTTTTAATCAAGTCACCGCCGTGAGTCTTCCAACTGTTGTTATGCTGCCATCTGCTGGTCACTGGTTGGACTTGGACACCTCTTAAGATAAATAATTCCATCTTAAATCAAAGGAGCAGAAATAGCGCAATCATAAAAAAAATCTGAAGTATTCCAGAATACTGGAATAAAATGTCAAAATTTACTTTTTTATTAAAATTTAAATTGTTTGAGTCAGATCTAAACACAAAGTCCCTTTTTTATTTCCCTAATGTCCCTTGACATAGTGGTCAAAAATAGTTTAAATTTCCCTCCATGCTAAAATGGTTTGGCCTGTCACACCGAGTAAATTTAAAAAGGTAATCTTTGGTAATTAACAGCTTAAATCACCCAATACTGGAAGCCTTGTAATTCTATTTTTGTTTAAGTTGTATCCAAACAGATGTTGATACGGTTTGATTTTTACTATCATACATTGATGTTTAAAAATCTGCTGTCGTGACAACCCTAATAAGTAAATCCCATGTTAAAGTTTAGTTGTCTTGGTCATCTTGAAGCTCATAGCACATTAAAGCAACAGTTTTGATACCAAAAACCCAAAGTCCAACATGCAGGGGCTGAGTGAATGTGGTTTGCACTCTGTGGAGGAGAGTCATTGTATTGTAAACATCGTAGAAGGACAGAATACCTGCACTGTGATCCAGGTACACCCCCACTCTAGAGGACATAAGGTGGGGTTTTGCAGCTGTGATGTACACATGTCTGACTATGAAACGACCATCAACACAATCTAAAGCCCAAGACCCTTCATTGAATCCAAAAATACTCTCAGTTCCTGTTCTGCTTATGTCCTTGTACGAGACGGCGATGGAAAGAGATCCCCCGCTTCTCTCCACCTCGAAGTAATGACGTCCACTGAGACTCTCTTTACTCATGACCTGACGCCCGTACACAAACCTGTCAGGATGACTTGGATACACTTGATCTTCTTCCATTTTCGTTGCTTTTCTGTTCCCTTCAGATAATAACAGGCCGCTGTTTACTGTGTTTGGATCCAGGGTTATTTTACAGGAATATTTTAAGAATTCAGCTCTGGTTTTTGGCTCCTCTTCTTGCAGTGAAGTGTTAGTCTCTGCAAACATTTTAGCGCGATCCTCAATAAGACTCTCCTGATTGTCTCTGGCATCAGACTTCCTATCGTAGGTCATATCTGCTGGTCCTGAAGAAACTCCACATCCTGCCTCATTCAGCTGCTCCAGTAAATCTGTGTTTTTCTCCAGGACAGGCCCTGGTACAAAGACTTCTCTGCACTTAGGACAGCTGTAGTTTTCCCTCTGATTCTCTTCCTCACTGAAGCCTCTAATGCAGCTAGTGCAGTAGCTATGCTCACAAGATGTTGTCACCGGATCATTTGCTGTGTTGAAACAGATTGAACATTGTCCCGATTGATTTCCTTGTTGTGCCATTTCTCTTCTGAGAAACAGAAAGTCAAACAGTTATCTTCCAGTGCTGCCTTCTTATCAAAACAAAAAACGCTATTTTTCTTCTTTAGTTGCTGACCTGCAGTGACTAGAGATTGTCAGCTCTCACACTGAACAGCATGTTGGTAACACCCATATGTGCAGTGGTTGCCTGTAAAGCAGGAAGTAGGAGGGAGGGTTTATGTGCTGTAACATTTCCAGGAAGAGGAGAGGTTTTTAGCAAAGCAAGGGTGTGTTCTCTAGTTCCTGTTGCACCCACAAATGGAAATCCATTTGAACAATATAAGCAAAAGGAGTAAATTTATCTCCTTCATCTTTTGCCCACAATTTGGGTTGGAGCAGCTGTGTTACTAGTTGGTTTAAGAATCACACTTTTAATTGTAAAACATGTATTTTTCATTGATATGTTTTTTTAAAGACAGAGAAAAATGCATACTCAATCTAGGGAAGTGCTGTTTTTCCCTAAAAAAGAAGTGGTTGTCAAGATATTGCAACATAACATGTAATCCCACAGACATGAAAAAGTTTTTCTCTGTCCCCCAAAAGGATAGATGAAACTATAATGTGTATGTCTCCACAAGAATAGGAAAATATTTTTTCTTGAGTCCTCGCAAAGATAGAAAAAAAATAGAAAAGTAATAAGCGTGTCATCTCTAAGATAGAATAAAACAGCAGTTTTTTCATGTTTTTGTGTGACAGCAAAAACATGAAAAAACAAATTAAGTGTCTCCTCAAAGATAGAAAAAGCGGTTTGTGTGTGTCCCCTCAACATTAGAAAGGCAGTTTACCAGTGTCCCCACAAAGGCAGAAAAACCCATTTTTGTGTGATCTCAAGAATCCGTTCCTGTATGTGTGTGACCCCCGATGTGATCCTACAAACCTTTAAAAACACTCTCTGTGCGCCCCAGAAAAGATAGAAGGCAAACTTCTTTACGTCCCAGTTATAGGGGAGCAATTTTTTTAATGTTCCAATAAAGATAGAAAAAACTGTTGGTGTGTGTATGAATATAAATACGCAAGATATTTCTTAATCATATTTAGCTTTAGATGTGCTGACTCTGATAATCTTTCGCCTCTATATAATTTCCTAAAAACAATGGATCATGGGTCCTAATGATGATGTTAGATTAAAATTAACTCGTGTCATTAAAGAAGAAAAGCCAGTAATTTAACTATTCGCTGTCTTTGTTTATGTTGTGTTTATCAAATATTTTCAGAAGACAACACTTTGGACATAGTATTTATTTCAGTCTTAAAAGTTTATAACAACTTCTGGATAACATAACATGAAAAAAAAACAAAAGAAAGAAAAAAATAAAACAAATACACATTTTTTTAATCGCACCCCAGGTTGACAAAATTAGAATTTGTAAAAGCAGATTTGAAAAATAAAAATAACAATAAAAATCACAGGAAATAAAACATTTCTTTCCCCCAGAAAAACAGCTTTTGTAGACTTACAGCGCATCAGGAGTCGGTGCCCCCGATGAGTCCCATCAGAGAACATCACACCTGATTTTGAAGTACAGACACTTGAACCTGTGTTTCAACAGATTCGAGTGTGAACACTTTAACCAATTTTGGATACAGATTCAAGCTGGAGAAAGTGAATTTGAAAATTTTAGAGGCACAAAATGCCCCCTCCCCCCCCAAAACAACAACAACCTTAGGCCCTCCTTTTTCAGCAAAGCCCAGCACCTGGAAATGTTAAAAAACACAAAACAAATATTGTGTTTTTTCTAATGAAGGAGCCAAAATGTAATTCAAATCCTTGTTGCACAAATATCTGTAACATTCCCCAATTATTAGACTAGCTAAAAGCAAATCCCCTTTATTCAGTTCAACATTTATTAATTCTACAAATTGAATACAAAAGATTTAAGCGATTGTTTACATTATACAAGTCTGTTGTTGAGGAAAATGGCTCTGTCTGTGCTCAGTAGTTTTTGAAATGCCTGACCTTTGTTTGTGAACAGTGAACAATCTCCCCACAGCCAAATAAGTTTATATACCTTTATTCCTCTTTTTTTCAAATATATATTTATTATATATAAAATACTGTTTCATTCATAAAAGCCTTACTTTGTACAATATCTGAGTGGTGTGTGTCTGTGAGCATTGAAGTGAATTAATGTGTTTTCTGTATGTGTTTGTGTGTAAATGCGTGAGTGTGTGAGCTAAAAAGAACCTGGAAATTGTCTCATATCAAACAGCTGGTACCGATTCATGACCTAATTCACTAAAAACAAAGTGTTTTACACAATATACACATTTTATTACTTACAAAAAAAAAGTATGAGAAAGAAAATGTAGGGCTGAGGGTTAGGAGGCGGGCTATGGTAGGGTTAGTACCACCAAATGTAACGTTTAAACGACAGAAAAATGACGGAGAAAGAGAGAGAAAGAGTGTGTGAATGAAGAGCTAGTTATAAAAAAAAGGCAGTCTCACTAAAAGGAAAGCTCATCGTCAGTGCATCTCTCATCTTGGATGTTCCGAAGTCAAAGTGCCGATTTGGTAACCATGGAGACCATCCACTCCTCATCAATAAGATCAAAAATAAAATAAAAATAAAATAAAAAAATCACTTCTGTCTAGAACTGGATGTATGGTATCACATTTTTTGTTGCACTAACGTCAAAAGTGATTTAAAAAAATAAGAAGGGAAAAAGGGATCCTTTTGGGAAAGAAGAAGGAAAATGAAAAATGCACTTTAGTTGTCGCACATCCATCATGGCACCATTTAGTGGATATTTTTCTGCTTTCATTTTGAGGTACTTCTGAAGAAAAACAAAGACTAAATATAAGATTTATTTACGCCAGTTTTTTTCTTTTTTTCTTTTAAGCTGTGTTGCACAGTAGCACCATTGTTTTGTTTTTCTGGAAGACAATGCACCATTGGTATTCCACTTTATCGTCATGGCAACAGTATATCCGTCGCTGTGACTACTACCCCCCCTACTTGTCCCCCATCATCAAATCATCTCTCGTTATTGATCAGGCGAGCCTGGCACCGGTTGGTTTCTTGCTGGTTGCTGTTACGTCCTCTTCATGCAGACGACGCAGCGGCTAACGCGTGTTCGTAGGTTACCCGCCTTGAGAGTCTCTGACTGTGGCTTCCTGTGAGGTCACAAGGTAAAGGAGGTTAAGAGAGGCAGGAGAGTGTAGAAAAAAAGTTAGAAAATAAATATGTAACATAAATAAACAGTGGCGGCTGGTATATTATTCCCCAAAAGGGGCGCAATTTTTCACAGATGGACCGGGATGTACATCTTGGTCTGTTAGCTTGATGCTATCAAGTAATCAAAATTGCCATTAACGGCCTAACATAATTAGCATCCCAATCTCTTTAACCTAACAAACCATCTATTTTACTTAACAATGTAAACCAAAATGAATTATTTTCTCCTGAGATGCTAAGTTAGATTCTTAGCATCACTAGTCTGTAACTCTACAGTATTACATGATACTGTACCTGAACATCTCGCTCTGTTCTACAGTGGCCAACCAGAAGCTGTAAGAGTTGCCGTAGTAGTTGCAAGTCCCTCTGCCGTGGCACTCTATGAAGGGAGCGCTGCGGAACTCCTCCAGGCAGGAGCCGGGTGAGGCCAGAGCTTGACCGGAGCCCTCTGCACCTGCACTGGTGTGCTGGGGAGGGAAGACGGAAGAGTGGTTATGATACGAACCGCATCGAGTCGTCAGGAAACCATGAATGTGCGAGAAGTTTTAAGAATCAGAAATTAATGTTCTAAGGAATAGCTAGGCATCTGAAGCAGCATCAACATTTGTGTGTGCTGGTGTGTATGTCCTACCATCATAAAGGAGTATCCGATCCACAGGGCTTCCCAATTCGACGGGCAGGTGGGAATCTGGATGGTCTGACTATGGACTGCAATCACCATGGCCGGAGCTTCACACACTGAACACCTAAAGCGCACACGAAGACACTAAGTTTAGCACCTTGCAGCTTCCCTTATCGAGCCTCTCTGCTCATTCGTGCCTCTCTCCAGCTCTACCTGCTGATGAACGGCTTGATGCTCTCTCCGGTGAGGGGGGCCATTGACATGGGCATTGGCTCAGGCGTAGAGAGCCAGTAGGAATAGTCATTACGAGACGCAAAGTTGCATACGTTGTTGATGTTGCAGAACATGAAGGGCATTGTGCTGAATCTGCGCAGACAGCTGCCGGCCGTGCCTAGAACACAGGGAGAAGTTGGTCAAATGTATGAAGCTTAAATGATAAATGAATGAAGTACAGCTATACCGACACAGAAATTGTTCATACCAAGGTCCTGTCCATGTGCTCTCTCATTGCCCTGCACGTACAGCAGTGAGTATCCATCGTAGATGGGGTTTGTTCCTTCGGGACAGAAGGGAACGTCCTGACCCTGGCTGTGTCTGGTGATGAGGAAGCCATGAGCTGCAGAGACTGATCCTGGTAGACCAGGAGGACCCTGAGGACCATCTGAACCAGGAGGACCAGGGTAACCACGCTGACCTGAAATCAGGGAAAGTAGATTTTTAAGAAAGGAAGTACAACTGTGCTGCAAAAAGGGCCAAAAGCTAAATGTTTGCTCATAAAGCAGGGAGCTAGTTTTTTTTTTTTTTAACTAACAGCAGAAACATTTCTTAGCTGACATGGTGTTATCAACAAATGCTGCTATGCTAAGCTAATCTCCCTGAGGTGCATACATCCGCTCACTCACCAGGCTGACCGGCTGGTCCAGTGTCTCCCTTCCTGCCTGGTGGGCCGCTGAAGCCAGGTGGACCCTCCAGACCAGGATTTCCAGGTTCACCAGATGGACCTGAGAGAGTGAGAGTGTTTTATGTAACAATGCTAGGTTTATTGTGAATTTAAAAATGGATTTAAAAAAAGAAGACAAATCTGTGTAAATCTTGATTTTAAAAATAAGAGTGATACATTGAAACTGAATGTCAGTTATTATGAATGTCAGTGCTTTTAGGTTTAAACGTCAACCACGCCAACCATTCCTAGTACTTTAAACCTCGAAGCCATATTTCCTCGAGCTTGCATTTTCTCCATCTTCTTCTTCTTTAACTCTCTTCTGATTGCAGTTTTTCAATGCCTACATAATACGCTGCCTCAAAAGCAGTGAATAGCCAT